ATTTATTAGTTGAATATCTCAAATCTGAAATGCTCCAATGAGCATTTCCTCTTGAGTGTCACATCAGTGCTCAAAAAATTTCAGATTTTGGAGCATTTGAGATTTTAGATTTTTGGATTAAGAATGTTCAACCCATACTATAATGACTCCTATGTATCCAGCTTCAAAAATCTTAATCTGATAGCTAGTCTTGTTTCATTTTATACTCCCTCCTCCCCTCCCCACTCTTCTGATATTGAGTTATTTTGAAGCAAATCGGAAGCATCACAGCAATAATTTGTAAATATTTTGTTATCTCTTAAAGGTAAGGACTCTTTTTAACATAATCACAATATCATTATTAAAGATGGAAAAAAGTTGACAGTTATTTAATATTGTAAAATATCTAGTCAGTGCTCAGATTCCTCCAGTAGTCTGATAATTTATTGTTGTTATTGCATTTATTTTGCTTGAATTAGAATCCAAAATATGCAAGTTGCATTTCATTAATATGTTCCTTAAGTTTCTTTTAATCTATATGTTCCCCTTCCCTTTTTTGTTCTTTGTAATTTGTTGCGTTTGTTTGTGATTGATTGAAGAAACCAAGTGTTTTGTCCTTTGAGTATTTCCCGTTCTGAATTTTGCTGATTTCATCTGCTGATGTCATTTACCATGTTGCTCTGTCCTTTGTAGTACTTAAAACTGAAAGTTAGATCCTGTTTCAGGTAGGACTTTGGTAAGAATACTTGTCAGTAGTATTATTTAGACACCAGGAGGCATAGAAAGTCTGGCTGTCTCTTTTTGTGATGTTAGCAGCCACTAATGATGGTTTCCTAGATCTTTTGCTTCTTTAGGAGTTTGCAGTGGTGGTCATCATTTTATCATTACCCCTTCATTAGTTAACTAGACTGCTACTATACAGAGAAACTTTTTCTCATCAATTTTACAGTTTCCTTGAGATAATAGCTTATAAAAGAAAAGTTGAATACTTGATTCTTTATCAGTTTTCAGAACAGTGAGTTATTTACCCAGCATCTTCCAAAGGTGACTAGTGAATTTTT